CCTCCCTCCCTCCCTTCTTTCTTTCTTTCTTTCTTTCTTTCTTTCTTTCTTTCTTTCTTTCTTTCTTTCTTTCTTTCTTTCTTTCTTTCTTTCTTTCTTTCTTTCTTTCTTTCTTTCTTTCTTTCTTTTTTTCTTTCTTTCTTTTTCTTTCTTTCTTTTTCTTTCTTTCTTTCTCTCTCTCCCTCCCTCCCTCCCTCCCTTTTTTCTTTTTCTCCTTCCTTTCTTTCTCTATCTTCATCTTCATCATCATCAGTATGTATGTATGTATGTATGTATGTATGTATGTATGTATGTATGTATGTATGTATGTATGTATCTATATCTATCTATCTATCTATCTATCTATCTATCTATCTATCTATCTAATCTATCTATCCTCTCTCCATCCTTCAGCTGGCTTTGGCTGGCTGGGCAATTCTGGGGGTTGAAATCCACCCGTCTTCCAGTTGCCAAGGCTGGGAAACACTGGAAGGAAAGGTGGAAGGAAGTAACCTCAGATTAGCTGTCCCTTAAATAAGATGCAACATGCAGAACAATTCTTTTAACTTCCTATTTATAACCTATTTCCACCTCCTGTAATTGTAGCTAAATAAAGTAGAATTTTTTCCACAAAGGCTCTTGAGCTGAATTTCAGATAGTCCTTGAGTTACAACTCAAGTGGAGCCTGCCCATCATGGTAGTAAGTCATGACGATCGTAAATCAGTTCATCCACATGACCGACCTGATTTTATGATCTTTTCTGCAACGGTCATTAAGTGGATCATGGTAAAACATGGTCACGTGACCATGGACTGCTGCAAATGACCAGAAATGTCCAGATGGCTGAGTCATGATGGCTATCAGAACTTCAGAACTGCGTGATAAATTTCCCCAGGTTGCTAAGCAACCGGTCGTAAGTTGAGGACCACTTGTCCTTAGGAGAAGGGAATTGTATCCAGGTTTATTGTACATAAAGGCTTCCTGTGACCCCTTGCTGATTATCGATTTATGACCACAGTTGGGACCAAAGTGTTTATTAAGTGAGTCACACCCGATTTTACAACCTCTTTTGTCATGGATCTTAAATGAATCACTGCAGCTGTTAGATGTATCTAGCAATCATTAAGTGAGTGTGACTCCCCCCCCCCATTGACTTCGCTTGTCAGAAAGTTGCAAATGGTGGATCGTATGACCCCGGGATGCTGCCACCGTCGTAAATAGAGGCCAATTGCCAAGCACCGAAATTTTGATCATGTCGCTGTGGGGACGCTGGGATGCTCGTAAGCATGAGGACCAGTTGTAAGTCACTTTTTTCAGTGACGCTATAACTTTGAATGGTCACCTAATGAATGGTTGTATGTTGAGGACATACAACCAAGATGAGGAAAGAACGACTCCAGATCCCAGTTGCAGAGATAAAATGGATCTTGATATTCTACTTGATCCTAATATTCAAGTTCAGGGGTCCCCAATCTGTGGGTCACAGCTAACTACTGGGTCACAGCCTATTGGCTCTGGGCCACGTGAGTGGTTGGCCAGTGCTTGCATGTGTGCGACTCACTGCAAGCATCGCGGGCATTTGCGGCCCCACTCATATGAGCGTTGCCACAAGGATCACCTGTTAGCATGAGCATCACCGAGAGCGTCACAGGCATTCGCGGCTCCACACATGAACATGAGCGTCATTGTGAGCGTCATGGGCATTCGCAATCCCACTTGTGCAAGCACTCATGGCCCTTCTCAGGTGTCTGTGCGTGTGCATGCATTCACCACTACACACAAAACCATCCCTTCTTTCCCCCCTCCCCCCCACTCTGGGCCGCCAACCTTGATAGATTGGGGAACTCTGTTCTACTTGGTTATAATGTTCTACTGATGTTCTACTTGATCATACTGTTCTACTGATGTTCTACTTGATCATGTTCTACTGATGTTCTACTTGATCATAATGTTTTACAGGTTATCCTCGACTTATAAACATGTGTTTAGTGACCATGAGAATATAGTAGGGTCATAAGTGCAAGGACCACTCATAAGTCAATGCTATTGTAATTTCAAACACTCACTCAATGAACGGTCATAAGTCAAGGACTATCTGTACAACATTTCATCAGAGTGTCCACAAAATTCATTTTCTTGCTTTGCTCCTCATGCTTGTTGTTCTTCTCCTTCTTGTAGGCCATCAAGATGGATTACAGTTCCTACAGCGGTGTGCCGAGGTTCTTGACCAGGCCCAAAGCCTTTGTGGTCTCCATGGGCAAAGATGCCACCTTGAGCTGCCAGATCATTGGCAACCCCATCCCATTGGTCAACTGGGAGAAGGACAAACTCCCCCTCCAGATGGGAGGACGCTTCAAGATGGTGGAAGATGATGACCTTTATCGTCTCACGATCTACAACTTGAGCTTGGAGGACAGTGGTCAGTACATCTGCCGGGCCAAGAACACGATTGGGGAAGCCTTCGCCGCCGTCAGCATAAAAGTTGGCGAGCAGACCACTGTGACCGAATCGGCCCCGTATTTCATCCAGAAGCCCACATCCATCCGAGTGATCATGGGTGAAGATGCCATGTTCAAGTGCATCGTCCAAGGTAGTCCTCCCCTCGCCATCAACTGGGAGAAGGATGGGAAACACCTCAGCAAATCATATGATTCCAACCGGATTTGGATCGAATCCCAGGGCGAGAAGAATGCTCTGAAGATCCAAAGTACTCGTTTGGGAGACAGTGGGACCTACACTTGCCATGCAGAGAATCCTTTAGGATCCTCCAGCGCAGCTGCAGCATTGATGGTAGATCTTCCAGATTCATACAGCCCGGGCAGCACGAGACACAGCATAGACATCGGTAGCAAGACTTCTCCATTGTTGTCCCACATGCAGAAAAGACGAGAAGAAATCCGGAAGAGTGATTTGTCCAGTGTAGACTCCATGATATCCACTGAAGGGCGGTCCAAACTCGGATTGAGCTTGTCCTTGGATTACGAACGGGCTGCTAGCTTGACCTCCAAGGGACTCCGTGGCGATGGAGGCTCATATTATCGGGTCACCACCCGGAGTTTCACTGTCACGGAGGGCAAGCATGCCAAAATGAGCTGCTATGTGACCGGAGAACCGAAACCAGAGACAGTTTGGAAGAAGGATGGCGAAGTGATCCTTGAGAGCCGGAGACATATCATTTATGAGGATGAGCAGGAGAATTTTGTCTTGAAGATCCTCTTTTGCAAGCAGGTCGATAATGGCCTCTATACCTGCACGGCTTCAAACTTGGCAGGACAGACCTACAGTTCTGTGTTGGTGACTGTCAAAGGTGAGTAGCCATAGTTCCTCCATTGTGTCGCATAATGGGCTCAAGACCAGACAATTTGGCGGGACAGACCTACAGTTCTGTGTTGGTAATCATCAAAGGTTAGTAGCCTCTGTTGTGTAGCACAATGGATTCAATACTACACAATTTGGCAGAACAGACCTACAGTTCTGTATTGCAATCATCAAAGGTGAGTAGCCATAGATCCTCCATTGTGTAGCAAATGTTCTCAAGACCACACAATTTGGTGGGACAGACAATTCTGTGTTGGTAATCGTCAAAGGTGAGTAGCCATAGATCCTCCGTTGTGTAGCACAATCAATATCACACAATTTGACAGGACAGACCTACAGCTGGTAATCATCAAAGGTGAGTAGCTGTTGATCCTCCGTTGTGTAGCACAATGGGTTCAATGCCACACAATTTGGTGGGACAGACCTACAGTTTTGTGTTGGCAATCATCAAAGGTGAGTAGCCATAGATCCTCCATTGTATAGCAAATGATATCAAGACCACACAGTTTGGTGGGACACACAGTTCTGTGTTGGTAAAAGTCAAAGGTGAGTAGCCATCATAAATCCTCCGTTATGTAGCACAATCAATACCACACAATTTGACAGACAGACCTACAGTTCTGTGTTGGTAATCATCAAAGGTGAGTAGCCATAGATCCTCCATTGTGTAGCAAATGGTCTCAAGACCACACAGTTTGGTGGGACAGACATACAGCTCTGTGTTGGTAATAGTCAAAGGTGAGTAGCCATAGATCCTCCGTTGTGTAGCACAATCAATACCACACAATTTGACAGGACAGACCTACAGTTGTGTTGGTAATCATCAAAGGTGAGTAGCCGTAGATCCTCTGTTATGTAGCACAATGGGTTCAATGCCACACAATTTGGTGGGATAGACCTACAGTTCTGTGTTGGTAATTGTCAAAGGTGAGTAGCTGTAGATCCTCCGTTGTGAAGCACAATTTATTTATTTATTTATTTATTTCTTGTATTTCTACCCCGCCCTTCTCCCTGCGGACTCAGGGCGGCTTACAGCCATTTAAAACAAATACTTGAATACAAAAATACAAAATTTAAAATTGATTAAAATGAAATATTATTCTAAGGCCGAAAATTCGAAATTTTTTTAAAACCAAATTAAAATAACCCTTAGGCCAGTCCTGCTAACTTAAATAGCCATGTCTTGAGGGCGCGGCGGAAGGAGGGGAGATTCGGAATCACCCGGATCTCTGGGGGTAGCTTGTTCCATAGGGTGGGGGCTCCAACAGAGAAGGCCCTCCCCCTGGGGGTCGCCAGCCGGCACTGTCTGGCTGACGGCACCCTGAGGAGACCCTCTCTGTGGGAGCGTATCGGCCGATGAGAAGTAATCGGAGGCAGAAGGCGGTCTCGGAGATAACCAGGTCCGATGCCATGGAGCGCTTTGAAGATGATAATCAACACCTTGAAGCGCACCCGGAAAGCCACCGGCAGCCAGTGCAGCTCGCGCAGCAGCGGCGTTATATGGGAGCGACAAGTCACTCCCATCACCACCCGCGCGGCTGCATTCTGGACTAGCTGGAGCCTCCGGGTGCTCCTCAAGGGGAGCCCCATGTAGAGAGCATTGCAGTAGTCCAGGCGGGAGGTGACAAGAGCGTGAGTGACTGCGCAAGGCGTCCCGGTCCAGAAAAGGCCGCAACTGGTAAACCAGGCGTACCCGGTAGAACGCCCCCCTGGCCACGGCCGTCAGCTGGTCTTCTAGTGTCAGCCGTGGATCCAGGAGGACACCCAGACTGCGCACCCTCTCCGAGGGGGCCAAAGTTTTGCCCCCTATAGTCAGCGACGGAGTCAGCTGACTATGCCGAGGCGCCGGCAACCACAGCCACTCGGTCTTGGAAGGGTTGAGCCTGAGTCTGTTTCTCCCCATCCAGACCCGTACGGCCTCCAGGCACCGGGACATCACGTCAAGGGCATCATTGGGGTGGTCTGGGGAGGAAATGTACAGCTGAGTATCGTCAGTGTACTGATGGAAATCCACCCCAAAACCACGGATGATCTCACCCAGCGGCTTCACATAAATATTGAACAATAGGGGAGAGAGGACCGACCCTTGTGGCACCCCACAAGTTAGGGGCCTTGGGGTCGACCTCTGCCCCCCTGCCAATACGGACTGCGTATGGTCGGTGAGGAAGGAGGAGAACCACCGCATAACGGTACCTCCCACTCCCAACCCCACCAGGCGCCGCAGCATGATACCGTGGTCCACGGTATCAAAAGCCGCTGAGAGGTCCAAAAGTTGATCCTGTCTCCTTATTGGGGACAGGGCCCGGGAGGTCTCTAGTAAGTGGTTACACTGGTTACGGCAAAGGCACGACATCCCTGGCCTGAAGCCCGACTGGAGCGGGTCTAGATAGACTGTTTCCTCCAGGCGCCGGGGGAATTGCTGCGCAACCACACTCTCAACAACCTTCGCCACAAAGCGAAGGTTGGAGACCAGGCGATAGTTAGCCAATGCATCTGGGTCCAGGGAAGGCTTCTTAAGAAGGGGCCTCACCACCGCCTCCTTCAGGGCTGCGGGGAAGACACCCTCCCGTAGAGAAGCGTTTATAATTCCCTGGAGCCAGGCTCGTGTACCCTCCCGGGCTCAACACCAGACAATTTGATGGGACAGACCTACAGTTCTGTGTTGGTGATCATCAAAGCTATAACTCCACCTGTCTTCAAGTTACCAAGGTAGAGAAACACTGGAAGAGAAGGCGTTAGGAAATAACCTCAGATGAGCAGTCCATTCAACAAAAGCAGAACAATTCTCTTAACTTCCTATTTACAACATATAGGTAGTCCTTGGTGTATGACCACAACTGAGCCCAAAATTTCTGTTGTTAAATCAAACATTTGTTAAATGAATTTTGCCCCATTTTATGACCTTTCTTGCGACAGTTGTTAAGTGAATTCCTACAGTTGTTAAGTTAGTAACATGGCTGTTAAGTGAATCTGACTCCCCCATTGACTTTGCTTGTCAGAAGGTCACAAAAGGGGATTGCATGACCTTGGGACACCGTATCTATTGTTTGAAGAAAAGTCTTCATTCTGGTTCAGTCCAAGCCGGGGATAAACAACATGCTGACTGCTTTAGAAAGAAGGTTGCTGTTTATTGAAGAGGAGAGCCAGACAGAAAGATGGTTCTGGCACTGTCATAAATATGAGCCAATTGCCAAACAGTCAAATTCTGATCATGTGACCATGATCATGGTCACGAAGCGACGGTTGTTAGTGTGGAAAAATGGCCAGGAATCACTTTTTTCAGTGCCATTGTAACTTTGAATGGTCACTAAACAAATGATTGTAAGTTGAGGACTATTTGTAATAGTGGGTTTTTTTTGTTTTTTGTTTTTTAAAAAGAACATTTAGCTTCACAACTAAAAGAAGACTGTTAAATGTATTTTTAAACTAGAAGAAATCTAATCCCAGGCATATCTCCGGCAGAAGTAAGTGCCAAGGAAGTAAACATGTATCTTGGCTAGTTTTACAAGGAGATTATATTAGCAAGATGCAGATATTCAATTTTCACATTCCATTGGACGGTGATTTGATCCAGTGTAAAATGGATTCCTTGATCTCAAATCCATAATTCAGTAACATTTGCTGAATCAAAACCCTTAAAGCGATCAATGTTTCAGCTAAGGACAGGCAGTCCTCGACTTACAAGCAGTCACTTATAATAGATCCTGGAAAAGCCAGATTTGAACCCAGCTTCAAAGTTCTGATGTCCACCCTCCTGGTCACGTGGCTGCATTTTGGGCGCTTGGCAACCAGCCTGCTTTATGACCGTTTTCAGCAGCCCATGGTCACATGATTGCAATTCATGATGTTTTTGCTGGAAATCAGCATTTATGTCTCTTTTAGAGCAAAAAGACACTCCCTAGTGGACTGGCTTTACTTTATGAGCGCAGAATTCACTTAACGACAATGGCATTCTCTTGACAGCTGGCGGGTTGACTTAATGACCACTCTAAATAGGTTGTAAAATTGGTGTCAAATGGTGGCCCATTTAAACTTCATGACTTATGACTGTAAGTGCTTATGGTTGTAAGTCAAGGGCTACCTATATGTTGTAGTGTTATTAGAAAAATAAGCTATAAGAAGGGATGGTGGCTCCTCATGTCCAGAGTTTTGAAAGGGATTGAATTAATTCACAGAAGACAGGACTACAGGTAGTCCTCGATTTACGATCCCAATTGAACCCCAAATTTCTCTTGCTAAGTGAGATAGTTGTTGAGTTTTCACCTCCAGCAAGAAAAGGTCATAAAATGGGCAAAAACTCACTTAGCAACTATCTTGCTTAGCAATGGAAACGTTGAGCTCAATTGTGGTCGTAAGTTGAGAACTACCTGTACTGATGTTCCATTGATCGTAATGTTCTACTGAGGTTCTACTTGATCATAATGTTCCATTGATGTTCCACTTGATCATAATGTTCTACTGAGGTTCTACTTGATCATAATGTTCTACTGAGGTTCTACTTGATCATAATGTTCCATTGATGTTCCACTTGATCATAATATTCTACTGAGGTTCTACTTGATCATAATGTTCTACTGAGGTTCTACTTGATCATAATGTTCCATTGATGTTCCACTTGATCATAATGTTCTATTGAGGTTCTACTTGATCATAATGTTCTACTGAGGTTCTACTTGATCATAATGTTCCATTGATGTTCCACTTGATCGTAATGTTCTATTGAGGTTCTACTTGATCATAATGTTCTACTGAGGTTCTACTTGATCATAATGTTCCATTGATGTTCCACTTGATCATAATGTTCTATTGAGGTTCTACTTGATCATAATGTTCTACTGAGGTTCTACTTGATCATAATGTTCCATTGATGTTCCACTTGATCATAATATTCTACTGAGGTTTTACTTGATCATAATGTTCTACTGAGGTTCTACTTGATCATAATGTTCCATTGATGTTCCACTTGATCATAATGTTCTATTGAGGTTCTACTTGATCATAATGTTCTACTGAGGTTCTACTTGATCATAATGTTCCATTGATGTTCCACTTGATCATAATGTTCCATTGAGGTTCCACTTGATCATAATGTTCTATTGAGGTTCTACTTGATCATAATGTTCTACTGAGGTTCTACTTGATCATAATGTTCCATTGATGTTCCACTTGATCGTAATTTTCTACTGATGTTCCCCTTGATCATAATGTTCTACTGATGTTCTGCTTGATCATAATGTTCTATTGATTTTCTACTTGATCGTAATTTTCTACTGATGTTGTACTTGATCATAATGTTCTACTAATGTTTTACTTGAACATAATGTTCTATTGAAGTTAAACTTAATCCTAATTTTCTAGTGATGTTCCACTTGATCATAATGTTCTAGTGGATGTTCTACTTGATCATAATGTTCTATTGATGTTCCACTTGATTCTAATTTTCTACTGATGTTTCATTTGATCATGTTCTACTGGATCTTAATGTTCTACTGATGTTCCAGATCATAATGCTCTACTGATGTTTTGCTGGATCATAATATTGGACTGATGTTCTACTGGATCTTAATGTTCTAGTAATATTTTTAAATGTAGAATAGAATAGAGCTGGAAGGGACCTTGGAGGTCTTCTAGTCCAGCCTCCTGCTTGAGCATATTCTAATTCATAATGTTCTACTGATGTTAGGGTTAGGGTTAGAGTTCTTAACGTGATGTTAATGTCATTTAGAGCTGTTTGATGGTTCTTCAGTCTTGCATCTTTCCAAAGTTCGTTTCTTCATCTGGATCTTTCCCAGAACCGAGAATACCTTTCAAGACAAAACTCCAAGACTTGGAAGTTCGAGAGAAGGAGTCCGCGATCTTCTTGTGTGAAGTGCCCCGTTCTGATGTGGAGACCACTTGGTTCAAAGAAGAGACTAGACTTCAACAGAATGACAAGTACAAGATCGAAGAAGATGGGACATGTCGTAAGCTCACGGTCCAAAACGTCACCATGGATGATGATGCTGTCTACATTTGCGAGATGAAGGAAGGCAGCAGGACTATTGCCGAATTGAGCGTTCAAGGTAAGTGAAGTCCATTTGACCTTTTCTACAGGTAGTTCTCAACTTATGACCAGTTGCTTAGTTATAAACTGCCTGAAATAGGAGATTTACAACATGGATCCGATATTCCAGTGATGGCAAGCCTTTTAGAGACCGAGTGCCCAAACTGCAATCCAAAACCCACTTATGCATCGTCAGGTGCCGGGTGGGTGTGGCTCATTGGCTGGGTATGGCCCATTGGCTGGGTGTGGCCCGTTTGGGATGTGTGGCCCATTGGGTGGGCATGGCTGCGGTGGTAACGGCAGACTGGGTGGGACTAAAAAGTTCAATCAATCAATTCCAACTTTGCAAGATCTTTTTTTTCCCTGTGAGGTTGAAATTGACTGATTGAACCTTTTTTTTTGCACATGGCGGCAGAGGCCTAAAGCAAAAAGGTTTTATAAAACCCAGCTGAAGGCCTAGGACTGGGACAATGGTGCGCGTGCCCACAGAGAGAGCTCTGAGTGCTGCCTCTGGCACCCGTGCCATAGGTTCGCCACCACTGTGATATTCCAACAGTCCCCTGCAGTCACATGGCTACATTTTGGATCCTTGGCAACACCACATGCATTAACACCCATTTGCAATGTCCCACAATCATGTGAACATGTTTTGTGACGGTTTTGCTGAAAACTGGCAATTATTTCCAGTTTTGGGGAAAACTTTGCCGCAGTGCACAATGTGTTAAGCTTAACGAACACAGTATTTGCTTAATGACACTGTTCACACTTACAACTGCCACGTTCATTTAACAACTGCTGCAAACCCCATAAAAATAACCTAGCCATTTTAGGAACAACTAATGAGTGTAATGGGCAGGCTCCATTTACAGTCATTCATTTGAGGACTGCCTATAATGCAGTCCTTTGTATTATTTCAGACTTGTGCAAGAAATGTGCATTGGTGCCCATATGGGCTCCACTCATTTTTTAATGTGCATTGCACACCTGAAAAAAGCAGAGATAGTTGCAACTGGACCATCGTGGCTGCTATCTTAACTCTTTGGCTGAAGCGATGATGCCAGAGTAGATATTATTATTACAGATAGTCCTCAATTTACAATCATTTGTTTAGTGTCTGAAGTTACAATGGCACTGAAGAAAGTGACCGTTTTTTATACTTACGACCATTGCAGCATCCCCAGGGTTACGTGATCAAAATTCAGACACTTGGCAACTGGCTTGTATTATGACGGTTGCAGTGTCTCAAAGTCACATGATCCTGTTTTGCGATCTTCTGACAAGCAGTGGGGAAGCCAGATTCACTTAACGACCGCATTACTAATTTAATAATGGCAGAGATTTACTTAGCAACTGCGGCAAGAAAGTTCATCAAATGGGGCAAAACTTCCTTAGCAACTGTGTTGCTTAGCAATGGAAATTTTGAGCTTGACGACTACCTATATTATTATTTACTGAATTTATTTGCCGCCCAACTTGCCATAAGAATTGGGTGACAAATAAATTGAATTGGGAAATTGTCCAGTAACAGACTTATTTAATAAGTCCAGAATGTACCAACATATAATATAGGAACCATCTGCCCAAATTTACAAGCCACTATTACCACAGCTGAGAATCCTGAGAGTTGGCCTTCACATGTACAAAGAGTGCCCACATTAGAAAAATCAATACACAGGTCCTCGCACTTATGACCACTGCAGCATCCCCAGGATCACATGATCAAAATTTGGACACTTGACAACTGGCATGTATTTATGACAGTTGCAGCATCCTGGGTCACGTGATCTCCATTTATGATCTTCCCAGCCAGCTTCTGAAAAGCAGAGGGGGAACCAGATTCGCTTAATAATTGTTAGGTGTTAACCATGGTTAACTACAGGAATTCATTTAACAACCGTGGTGAAAAAGGTGGCAAAACCAGTCACGACTTGTTTTACAATCCCCTTGCTTAGCAATAGAAATTCTGCTCCCAATGGTAATCCTAAGTCGAGGACTACCTCTTAATACCTGTTTAATGAATAAAATCATTAAAGGCAATTCATCTCTGGCCTACTAATAATTTTTAGACAGAGATCACGCTTCCTTGATCGATAATTCCAGGGGTGAAATGCAAGACCCCTGAGGCAAACCATGAGTTATCTAAGAGGGTCATCCATGCTTGTTCAAATCAAAGATCGAAGGAGGTCATCGGATTTCTGTAACCTGAGTTCGGATCACGCTGCTTGCCAATCATTTGAAGGAATTGCAGACATATAACTTATGTCAATGTCTTTGACCTCTGCAGCCCATAGAGGTAGTCCTTGGCTTACCAGTTTGTTTAGTGACCATTTGAAGTTACAACACTACTGAAAAAAGTGACTTATGACCATTTTTCATACTTATGACCATTGCAGCATCCTTATGGCCATGTGATTTACATTCGAGTGCTTGACAACTAATTCCTATTTATGACAGATGCGGTGTTCTAGGGTCATGTGATCCCCCTGCTGACCAGCAAAAGTCAATGGGGAAGCTGGATTCACTTAACAACCGTATGACTAACTTAACAACTGCAGGGATTCACTTAACAACTGCGGCAAGAAAAGTTGTAAAATGGGGGCAAGGCTCACTAAACAAATTTCTCACATAGCAACATAAATTTTGGGCTCAGTTACGGTCGTAAGTTGAGGACTGCCTGGACACGCCAATCCATTTTACAAGCCAGGGTTAGGAAGGAAACCTAGTTTGCCCTTGGCCAACCCATCTCTGCATTTCTTGCTGCGTTGATTGACTGAAAAGGGTTGGCTCTTCCATGAGGCAATCTGTCCTGTGATTGGTTGCTGTGGGTGTGGAGGGGGAGTTTCCCTTTTTTCCCGCCTTTTTTCTTCTGTAGGCCCTGTATGCTCTGTGATTTACCTCATGGTGCTCCAGTTTGCCTGACTATCTTGTTTGCTGTATATAAATATGTAAAATATATTTATTTATATAAAACTACAAGTTTGTGTTGGCCTCTGACTCGATTTGGACACCGGCTGAGCAATGCCCTGACAGGCTACATAAATCGATGTGGGATTTTTGAATGTTTAGAATATATGTAGGGATAGGTCTCCCTCCTTATCTATTAGTTCATGTATCTATCTTATCTACTCTTTATCTAATTCTCTTTCTCTCTCTTATATCTATTTATGTATGTATTTCTCTCTGTCTCTCTCTTCCTATGTATTAGTTCATGTAACTATCATCTATATAATTATCCATCCATCCATCCATCCATCCATCTATCCATCCTTTCATCTCTATCTATCTATCTATCTATCTATCTATCTATCTATCTATCTATCTATCTATCTACCTACCTGTCTCTGTCCCTATCATATATCTATCGTCTGTCTGTCTATTCATCCATCTATCCATCCTTTCATCTATCTATCTATCTATCTATCTATCTATCTATCTATCTATCTATCTATCTATCTATCTATCTATCTATCTATCTACCTACCTACCTACCTACCTACCTACCTACCTGTCTCTGTCCCTATCATATATCTATCGTCTGTCTGTCTATTCATCCATCTATCCATCCTTTCATCTATCTATCTATCTATCTATCTATCTATCTATCTATCTATCTATCTATCTATCTATCTATCTATCTATCTATCTATCTATCTATCTATCTATCTATCTATCTATCTATCTATCCTTTCACATATCTATCACTCTGTTTAATTATCTAGCTGTATCTCCCTCTCTCCCTATCCATCTATCCCTGTATATACCTCTCTACCTAGACAAGATCATAGTATTTCTAAGCACGGAGCTTTTATTCTAAGCTGACTGAAGTAATGGTCATGTCTTTATTTATCAACCTAGGCAACATTATAAAGAAACTGCCAAGGAAGACGGCTGTCAGTATAAAAGACACCGCAGTATTCTGTGTGGAACTGGAACAAAAGTGCGAGAAGTTCCGATGGCTGAAGAATAAGGAAGAATTAAAACCTAGCGGTCGCATCTCAATCTCCTCAACAGACAGAGAATATACCATGATCATCCGGGATTGTCAGATAGAAGATGGAGGAGAAATTGTCTTTGTGGCTGATGAATGTAGAACATCTACACAGTTTACTGTCTCTGGTAAGAGTCATTTATCCCCCCCCATGTGTGTGAGGGATTTGTTCCTCCATATTTGTTACTTATAAATTGTAGGTTTCTCCTGAGGATCTTAGATGCTTAGGATCGTGCAAATATAGGTAGTCCTTGACTTAGAACCATAACTGAGTTTTGCTAAAGATAGAAAGATAGATAGATGATAGTAAGGCCTACCCTGAAAATAAGCCCTAGCTTGATTTTTTTGGGAATGGCCCTAATTGTGGCGATCGCTTGGGATCCCACTTGTCCCTTTTCTCCGGGATGAGGTGATGTACGTTGGATGAGACCAACGGACCTCGCTTTAGGTTAAGAAACACACGGACAACATGTTTCTTCAGGTGAGATGGCAGGCCACAGCGAGCGTGCTGAAAAGCCTTTGTGTCTCCCTTTTATTGGTCTATAAACGTCATTAGGGGGNGCAGGCTTTTCTAGGAAATGGGACTTAAGTCAGGAAACGAAACCTAAGGCAGGCTTTGCAGGAGAAATGAAACTTAACAGAGGGGATGGGCTCATTGTATGGACAAGGAACAAATCCTACAGGCATTTCATAGGAAACGAAACCTATGTTAGAGATGAAACTTATAGCAGTGGAAAAGTACCCAGAGATATTGCAACACCTAATATAAGCCCTACCCTCAAAAAATCCTTAGTTTTGGGATGAGGCACACACTTAAAAATAAAGCTAGGGGACGGCTGGGGTGTGCAGCTGGCCCATGTACCCTGGGCCCACTTATCTTGCAGCCAGGCTTCTCCTCGCAGACCCGGCTCTTCTGTGGCGTTTTCTGCAGCCAGGCCTGCATTTCTTAGTCACAGGCCTTTCCGGAAGCTATGGATTCAATCCATAGCTCGGTTCTGCAAGTCCTCTGCAGCCAAGGACCGAGCTATGGATTCAATCCATAGCTCAGTATTCGGCTGCATAGGCCTTCCAGAAAGGCCTGACTGCAAAACTGAGGCCAGAATGCAGTTGCAGCATGAAGCTGCTCCTTCAGCCCCAGAAGAAGTGGACTGGCTGGGCAGGGCTGTCGGTGCCGGAGGTACGGTAAGTCATCCCCCGAAAATAATCCCCCTGGTGCCTCTTTTGGAGGCAAAAAAAAAAAAAAAAACCACAGGGAAACACGGTAGGTAGGTGATACATAGAAATAGATAGATAGACAGACAGACAGACAGACAGACAGACAGACAGATAGATAGATAGATAGATAGATAGATAGATAGATAGATAGATCGATAGATCGATAGATAGATAGATAGAGAGGCAGGCAGGCAGGCAGGCAGGCAGACAGACAGACAGATAGGCAGGCAGGCAGGCAGGCAGACAGACATGTAGACAGACAGATAATAGATGGATGACAGATATACTGTAGAAGATAGATAGATAGGTAGGTAGGTAGGTAGGTAGGTAGGTAGGTAGGTAGGTAGATAGATAGATAGATAGATAGATAGATAGATAGATAGATAGATAGATAGATAGATAGATAGATAGATAGATAGATAGGCAGGCAGGCAGGCAGGCAGGCAGGCAGGCAGGCAGACAGGCAGGCAGACAGACAGGCAGACAGGCAGACAGACAGATAATAGCTGGATGACAGATATACTGTAGAAGATAGGTAGGTAGGTAGGTAGGTAGGTAGGTAGGTAGGTAGGTAGGTAGGTAGATAGATAGATAGATAGATAGATAGATAGATAGATAGATAGATAGATAGATAGATAGATAGATAGGCAGGCAGGCAGGCAGGCAGGCAGGCAGACAGACAGACAGACAGACAGAGAGTTTAGTCCCATGGAAATTCTGGTTTCAATTGTGGCTATAAGTCAAGTATTACCTGTTTAGAAGAACAACAAAACTTATGATAGTTCGATCAAATTTTGAGGGCCAAGACTGACCCCTTAAACCAAAAACCTGGTTTAAAAGGTTCCTAGGATCAGGCAGGGTCAGTTATTCAGATCAGTGGCACAGCCAAACCATGAGAGAAACTCAAGGCATCAGCCCTGTAACGGTGAAGTCATTTGACCCAATTTGATCCCCACTCAGAACATGCTTGAAGATCCCAAGCAGAAGGCGAGCATCAATCAATCAGTTGCCACTGATTTCTTGCATGCAAGAAACATGCCGTCACTTACTATCCACCCTTAAAATAAGATACAATACAACGGTATACAGGAAGTCCTTGACTTATGACCACAATGGAGCTCAAACTTTCTGTTGCTAAGTGAGACAGTTGTTAAGTGAGTTTTGCCCCATTGTACGACCACAGTTCTTAAGTGAATCATGGCAGTTGTTAAACTAGTAACATGGTTGTTAAGTGAATCTGGCTTCCTCATTGACTTTGTTTGTCAGAAGGTCACAAAATGTGATCACGTGACCCTGGGACACAGCAACTGTCATAAGTATGAGTCAATTGCCAAATGTCTGAATATGACTGCAGAGATGCTGCAATGGTCATAAGTGTCAAAAACAGTTATAAGTTACTTTTTTCAATGCTGCTGTAAGTTCAAATAGTCACTAAACAAACTGTTGTAAGTCGAGGACCACCTGTGCAATTGAACAACTGCAGCAATTCACTTAACAACCATGGCCAAAAAAGTCATGAAATCGGGTTTGACTCATTTAACAACCACCTTGCTTATCAATGGAAATTCTGGCCTCCACTGTGGTCATAAGTTGAGGACCACCTGAAACCAGATCAAATTCAGAAATCATAATGCGGACTAGCTTCTGTGTTTGACCCAACTTAATTGCCGTATTGGAAAATGGCTTTGTTGGAAAACCTCTTCAATTTAATCTCTTTAATTCGCAATCTGAACTTGGCAGCCCAGCCCCTTGTCTTAGCCATAGCATGTTAAGCTAAGATCTCATATAACAAGGAAAGAATGTGAAAAGCGTACATAGAGAACATAATTGAAGTAGGCATCACTGCACCCTGTTTGCAAAAATAACCTTTTCTTAGAGTCCATACCGTATCATAGCCAGGCACCAGAGGCCAGGACAAGAAGCAACAGATGGAAACTTATCAAGGAGCGATCCAACCTAGAACTAAGAAAAAATTTCCTGACAGTGAGAACAATTAACCAGTGGAACAACTTGCCTCCAGAAGTTGTGGGTGCTCCAACACTGGAAGTTTTCAAAAATAAACTGGACAGCTATTTGACTGGGATGGAATAAAACTCCTGCCTTGAGCAGGGGGTTGGACTAGAGGATCTCCGAGGTCCCTTCCAGTCCTATGACTGGTGGCTTCAAAAGAGACTGAGATGTAGAAAGCTAAAGGAGAGATCCTCTCTATTGCTCCTTACTCTACATCTGTTTAGTAGTGCCTCATTTAATGGAATACAGGTAGTCCTCGACTTACAATAGTTCATTTAGTGACACTTCAAAATTACAAGAGCACTGAAAAAAGTGACTTATGACTGTTTTTTATGCTTACGACCATTGCAGCATCCCCATGGTCACGTGATCAAACTTCGGCTGCTTGGTGACTGACTCATATTTATCATGGTCACAGTGTCCCAAGATCATGTGATCCCCTTTTGCCATCTTCTGACAAGCAAAGTCAATGGGGAATCCAGATTCACTTATTCCCACCGTGTGATTAACTTAACAACTGCTTAACAACTTTGGCAAGAAAGGTCGTCAAATGGAGCAAAGCTTACTTAACAAATGTCTCGCTTAGTGACAGAAATGCTGGGCTCCATTGTGCTCATAAGTCGAGGACTTCCTGTATATCATTGCTCTGCATATTATGTTAAGGATGGGTAGCAAATGACTGCACGTTTATTGCATGTAAGAAATTAGTGGCGATTGGATAACCATTTGTCTGGTTTCCTGCCTGAATAGGGGGTTGGATTAGAAGACCTCAAAAGTCCTTCCAATTCTGTTATTGTTATTGATTGATTGACTCATGCTTTCCTTCTGCTTGAGATCTTCAAGCATGTTCTGGGGATCCAGATGGATCAGATGACTTTACCACTATGGGGCAGATGCCTTGGGTTTTTCTTATGTTTTAAATGAGCCACTGATCTGAATAATTAACCCGCCTGATCCTAAGAACCTTTTAAACCAGGGTTTCCTGAAGGGGTCAATCTTGGACCTCAAGATTTGGTAGAACTATTGTAAAGTTCATTGTTCTTCTATACAGGTAGTCCTCGACTTTATGACCACAAGTGAGACCAGAATTTTCATTGCTAAGGGAGGTGGTTATTAAACCAGTCACATCCGATTTTATGACCTTTTTCCCATGGTTGTTAATCGAATCACTGTAGGTGGTCATTAAGTGAATCCGGCTTCCCCCATTGACATTGACGGTCAGAAGCCAGATAGGAAGGTCACAAATGGCGATCACATGACTCTGGGACGCTGCAACCATCATAAATATATGCCAGTTGCCAAGTGCCTGCATTGTGGTGATGTGACCATGGGGTTTTGTGACGGTCATAAGTGCGAGTCATGGTTGTAACTCGCATCCTGCGTTTTGATCATGTGAGTGTGGGGATCATGCAGAACAAAACAGAATAACAGAGTTGGAAGGGACCTAGAAGACCTTCTAGTCCAACCCTCTGCTCAAGCAGGAAACAAATTGTTTGTCCAATAGTCATAATGTGCAATGGTTGTAAGTGCGAGGAATGGCATTTTTCACTGCCGTTGCAATTTTGAAAGGCTACCAAGCCAATGGTTGTAAGTTAAGGGCTACCTATGTTGGTAGTGCAATCAGTTCAAACAGTATTTTATATTATATAAAAATAAATCGATTTTGTATTATAAATGTTTGAGTGTCGATCAACAATCTGAAACTTTATGAAGGGGGGTATGAGCTGATCTCAGCCTTCCCAGGTGGACTTTGGGGGCAGAGTCCAAAGGGGGATCAGCCTAGAATCCCTATGTAGATGTAAGCGAACTAAATCTATCCTCCCTTGAATTCTGTGCACCATTATATAATTCCTAGCGGGTGCTGTTAGATGAAAAGATTCCTGTACAGAAGGAATCCTCAACCAATGACCACAATTGAGCCCAAAATTTCTGTTGCTAAATTTGTAAGTGAGTTTTGCCTCATTTAAGTCCTTCCTTCCTGCAGTTGTTAAGTGAATCACTCCAGTTGCTAACTTAGTAACACAGTTGTAAAGTGAATCTGGTTTCCCCATTGACTTTGTCAGAAGGTCGCAAAAGTTGATCATGTGACCCTGGGACACTGCAACCTTCATAAATTTCAGTCAGTGGCTAAGCATTTGAATTTTGATCACATGACCATGGGGATCCTGCAACAGTTCCAAGTGTGAAAAATAGTCATGTCACTTTTTTCAGTGCTGTTGTAACTTTGAATGGTCACTAAGTGAACAGTTGTAAGTCAAGGACTATCTGTACATAGGCATGATTAGAAATCAATCAGTTTAATTGGACTTTCACATGTGGATCTGATCTTTCACACCCAACAACAGGAAACACAACTAGACAAACTAATTCTACTTTACTGTAAGGTTACCTGAAAAAAATCTTGCAAGTCTTCAACTACAGGTAGTCCTTGACTTACAACACTTTGTTTAGTGACCGTTCAAAGTTACAACTGCAGTGAAAAAAGCCACACGATCAGTTATCTTTCTTATGATCATTGCAGCATCCCCGTGTTCACGTGATTAAAATTCAGGTGCTTGGCAATTGGGATGTGTTTATGATGGTTGCCGTGTCCCAGGGGTCATACAATCCTATTTTTCAACCTTCTGGCAAGCAGATTCACTTCTCAACCGTGTTGCTAAATTAACTTAACAGCTGTGGGAAGAAAGGTCGTAAAATGGGACAAAACTCACTTAACAGTTGTCTCGCTTAACAATGGAAATTTTAGGCTCAATTGTGGTCTAAGTCAAGGACTGTCTGCACTAATTTCCTGCTGCCCCTTTTAACTGCTTGATTTTCCTCAGTTTCTTTCTCTGACCCCTTAAGCCACTGAGGGCTCCTGCCTCTCTTATCTAATTGTTTCTTAGGCAGCATTTCCTTCCCTCTTTCCTCAGCGTCATCCACATGTTCCATTAGAACAGGGGTGTCAAACTTGCAATATCACGTGACGTGTCGTGACTTATCGCAACTTTTTTGCCACTGCCGGCAATCGAGTGGGCGGAATTTCGCTATGATGCATCCGGCCCATGGGCCGCCAGTTTGACATCTCTGCATTAGAACTAAAAAGACTGAAAACCACTGTTTGAAAAAATGAACCAGCTGTTTGTTCTTCTGAGCTCCAGATGGTCTAATTCAGCAGACCTTTTCAATACTCTCTGTGAGCTTTTCAGCACATCTATTGAGAACTGGAGACTCTAGCATGTACAGATAGTCCATAACTTACGTCCACAATTGAGCCCAAAATTTCTGTTGCTAGGTCAGACATTGTTCAGTGGGTTTTGTCCCATTTTAAGATTTTCTTGCCACAGTTGTTAAATGAATCACTTAAGTTAGTAACACAGTTGTTAAGCAAATCTGGTTTCCCCATTGACTTTACTTGTCAGAAGGTTGCAAAAGGGGATCACATGACCCCAGGACACTGCAACTGTCATAAATAGGAGTCAGTGTCTGAATTTTGATCACGTGATCATGGGGATGTCGCAATGGTCATAAGTGTGAAAAATGGTCATAACTCATTTTTTTCAGTGCTGTTGTAACTTTGAATGGTCACTAAACAAACTGTTGTAAGTTGAGGACTACCTGTACTGATAGAAGATAATCTCTGTAGCTCTGGGTGGGGTGGGGGGTCCTTGGTGCTCTCAGAGCTTGATGGAAGACATGTCACGATCCAATTAGGTAACATTACCAGTGCTAGAAAGGAATAGGCTTTGCTCTCTATTTATATACAATGTAAATTCCATTCCGTCTAGCACTGATGATGCTACCTAGTTGGGCCGTGAAATGTCTGCAGGAAAACAACCAAGCTTAGAGAGCACCAATGATCCCACAGTCCTCTTCCTCCTCCCCCCCTCCCCTCCTCCTCCTCCTCCTCTCCACAAAGCCCGTTCCCTTCTAGAACTAATGATGTTACCTAATTAGGTCATGAAACCTCTGCAAGAAAACTGCCTAGCTCAGAGAGCACCAAGGACTCTCCCAAAGTAACATGTGATGGGAAAATAACAACGCTTGCACAGCCTTTGAACTAACTTTATACTCACATCTTTTTAAAAAACTGTGGTTTTCCCCCAAATGTTGACTTGATCTTTCCCTCTGTTGCCTCCTGACCAGCTCCGAAGAAGCCCCCATCACATCCTCCAGCTGACCCAGTGGTGAAAAATAAAACAGAAACCTCAGTGACGTTAGCCTGGTCTCTTCGAAAGATGGACCGGCCTATCCCAATTGATGGCTACCTTGTTGAACGTAAGAAACTGACTGGATTCACATGGCTGAGGTGCCACCAAGCTCTGGTGTCCCAAACTGAGTTTATAGTCAACAACATGACTGAAGAGGCTGACTACCAGTTCCGAGTTTCGGCAGTCAATAAATATGGCCAAAGTGATTATCTGGAATTTCCTGGAGTCTGGCATCTTGGTAAGTTTGTTTTTTTTCAACAATGGGCTAATTTGAAGGTGATGGATGGATTTAGACTTTTCTAAGCTGCCAATAATTGAAATTCTAAAATATCTTTTACCATGAATATGAATAATATGCTGCAATAATTCCAACGATCAGAAATTTCTTCTTCTTCTTCTTCTTCTTCTTCTTCTTCTTCTTCTTCTTCTTCTTCTTCTTCTTCTNCTCCTCCTCCTCCTCCTCCTCCTCCTCCTCCTCCTCCCCATCACCATCTCCTCCTCCTCCTCCTCCTCCTCCTCCTCCTCCTCCTCCTCCCCATCACCATCACCATCGTCCTGTTACCTGAATGGGTCATGAAATGTCTGGAAGAAAACCACCAACCTCAGAGACCACCAAGGATCCCACAGTTCAATCCTAAGCCACAAATATTCTCTTCTATTGAGAAAAATTTATGCTAACCTTTGCCCATCATTGTTATATTCCACAGAACCTACCCTGGCAGTGAAAACCCCTCTGAGAAATGTTGAAGTTGCACCAGGGAGAGATGCAACCTTCACTGTGGACCTCACCACTCCTAGTCCCGGCTTGTGGTACATCAATGGCAACCTTGTGCAGAACAGTGACAAATACATAATTATGAGAACCAAAGGAACCCACAGTTTAACCATTAAGCGGGTCACCAGTGCTTTCAAGGAGGCGGAGGTGAAATTTGTAGCCAAGGATATTGAAAGCATTGGAAGAGTCACCTTGAAAGGTATTTGCAATACATGCTTCTTTCTTTCTTTCTTTCTTTCTTTCTTTCTTTCTTTCTTTCTTTCTTTCTTTCTTTCTTTCTTTCTTTCTTTCTTTCTTTCTTTCTTTCTTTCTTTCTTTCTTTCTTTCTAGCATGATCTTCAGACCTTAGTTTCAGGAGATCTTTAAGAAGCTGAAATTAAACCATACTTTCCTAGCTTAAGAAATAATTATGGGCAAACATGAGTTTGGGAGACAAAACTAACATGTCAGTTTGGCAAGGAAAGGGTTGGGATGTCCACAGAGAAGATAGAAAGTCAAAATGACAGCCACCACTATTGGTCTGAAGTTCCCCAACTTTTAAATGTGGGTTGTGCATAGGAATAGTGCTTCCATCATGTAGTTGTGGCTGACCTTGTTGCCTTTTTAGTTTGAAATGGGGTAAAAGAAATATGGAGACTCAAATTATCATACACTGGATACATTATGGAAAGACTTAACTGTCTGGAGAAGTCCTCAATGCTGGGGAAGGTGGATGGAAAGAGCAGAGGACAACCAGCAGAAAGGTTGAGGGACTCAGCCATAGTGGTGATGGAGACACCGTTGGGAGACTTGAAGAAGCAAGTCAAGGAAACACCAAGCTCCCTTGAGAAGTCCAAGTGCTGAGAAAAGATGAAGGAAAGAGGACTGAGAAAAGATGAAGGAAAGAGGACAGCCAGCAGTAACATTGAGGGATTCAGTTATGGAGGCACTGTTGGGAGACCTGAAGAAGCAAGTTATCTGGACACTAAGGCTGGAAACCAAGTTGATGGCTGATAATCAATCAATTAATCAACAGAAACATCAAGCTTCCTTGAGAAGCCCACAATGCTGAGAAAGATGGAAGGAAAGAGAAGAACAACCAGCAGCAACCTTAAGGGACTCAGTTACAGTGGTGTTGCTTGCCCTGTTAGGAGACCTGAAGAACCAAGTTAAGAAAAAATCTTCCTGGAGAAGGTCAAGCTGTCTGGACTCTAAGGCTGGACTCCAAGTTGATGTCAATCAATCAATCAATCATCCAATCATCATCATCATCATCATCATCATCATCATCATCATCAAGTTGGAAGGGACCTTGGAGGTCATCGAGTCCAACCCCCTGCTCAGGCAGGAAACCCTACACCATTTTGGACAAATGGTTGTCCAGTCTCTTCTTAAAAACTTACAGTGTCGGGGCATTCACCACTTTTGGAGGCAGGTTGTTCCACTGGTTAATTGTTCTAACTGTCAGGAAGTTTCTCCTTAGTTCTAGGTAGTTTCTCCTTAGTTCTAGTTCAATGAACAGAAACATCAAGCTCCCTTGAGAAGCCACAATGCTGTGAAAAGAGAAGAGGATCACTAGGAGTGAGGTGAATTGACTCAGTTACGGTGGTGATGGGTGCACCATTGGAAAACATGAAGGATCTGGAGACAGATCATTCTAGAAAAGGTCTATCAATATGGTTGCTGAGAATCTTCACCAACTTGATGGCACATAATTATTCAGCATGAAGATCTAACTCTCTGGAAAAGTCCATCATATTGAGAAAAGTGGAAGGAAAGAGAAGAAGAGGAGGGCGAGTAGAAGGTAGATGGACTCAGTTATGGTGGCCATTAATGCCCTATTGGAAGACTTGAAGAGCCAAGGTGGGTACAGATCAACCTGGAGGACATCTATAAAGTCACCAAGAGTTAATACCAACTTGATGGAACATAATTCATCAATCAATGAAAAAAAATCAGGATCCTTTGATAACTCCATAATACTGAAAGAGAAAGAAAGAAAGTAGAAAGGGAGAACCAGCAGAAGGTAGATGGACTCAGTTATGGTGGCCATGAATGCCCTACTGGAAAACTTGAAGGACCAAGTTGGGTACAGATCAACCTGGAAAAGATCTAGATCAGGCATATCAAACTCACAACGTCACGTGACGTTGTGCGATGTATCGGGACTTTTTCCAAATTGCGACAATGGGGTGGGCGCGGTTTTTGCGTGATGCATCCGACCCGCGGGCCGGCAGTTGGACATGCCTGATCTAGATGATCACTAAGAGTCAACACCAATCTGATGGAGTATAATTCCTCAAGCAATGAAAAATACCAGATTCCTTAAGAAATCCACAGTGCTGGGAAACATGGAAAAAAAGAGAAGAAGACCACCAGCAAATCTGAATTTTGTGCAAATTTGCATCATGTCATTCGTACAGTAAAATAATTGAGATAATGCCATTTTCATGCCTTCTCATCATTTGTGAGATCATGTTATGCAAATTATGCAAAGGACATCCATTCTCCAATTTCTCTGAGATGTACCGTATGTTATTTCAGGCATCGATTCAATAAGTACAGGTAGTCCTTGACTTACAACCACAACTGAGCCCCAAATTTCTGTTGTTAAGCAGGACAGTTGTTAAGTGAGCTGCAACTCATTTTATGATCTTTTTGGCCACAGTTAAGCGTATCACTTCAGTTGTTTAGTGAATTATGTGTTTATTAAGTGAATCTGGTTTCCCCCTATGACTTTGCTTGTCAGAAACCAGCTTACCAATAGTGATCACATGATCCCAGAAGAGTGGAATTGTCATAAATACAGGTAGTCCTTGACTTATGACCACAATTGAGCCCAAAATTTATGTTGCTAAGTGAGACATTTGTTAAGTAAGTTTTGCTCATTTTGTGACTTTCCTTGCCACGTTTGTTAAGTAAATCATTCCGGTTGTTAAGTGAGTCACAGGATTGTAAAGTGAATCTGGCTTCCCCATTGACTTTGCCTGTCAGAAGGTTGCAAAAGGGTATCACGTGATCCCAAGACCCTACAACCGTCATACGTTTGAGTCAATTGCCAAGCATCCGAATGTAAATCACGTGACCACAGGGATGCTGCAATGGTCATAAGTATGGAAAATGGTCATAAGTCACTTTTTTCAGTGCCATTGAATGGTCACTAAATGAATGGTTGTAAGTCGAGGACAACCTGTATTTCTACGTTGGAGTTGCTGGGATGAGACAAAGGATCTGATGACATCACGTGTCACAATGTCAGTGGACAAATGACCTAAATTGCTCTTTCTGTCCTTTTGTCCAATGACACCAGGACACATTCAATGTCATCGCAGCTTGTATCAGATGTCCATTCCACTGAGTTTCATCCCTCTTTTTCTAGATGAAGTGGCCACGTTTGTTAACGACTCAGCCCCAGGGATTTCGGTCAACCTTCACGAGAAGTTTGAGCTGGTCTGCGAGGTGTCCTCGGCTACTGATGCGGTCCTGTGGAAAAAGGGGAAGAAGGACATCAAGCCAGACCAAAGGGTGACATTTTCCGTTCAGGGAAAACAGCGAAAACTTATTATCCAAAACGCCGTCAAGGAAGACGAAGGGGTTTATATCTGCGAATCAAAAGATGATCGACTATCCTTCCAGGTGGAGGTTAAAGGTAAGAAATGGTCCAAATGCTTCCTTTCAAAAATGTCTATATAGGTCAGTGATGGCGAACCTTTTAGAGACCGAGTGCCCAAAAACCGCCTCGCCCCTGCCCCACCCCTCCTCTCCTGCCCATGGGCCACCTACCACAGATCGCCCAGGTGGCCCAGCAGTGTCATGGCGGCCATGCCCTCTGTCCGCACCCCGCAGCATCTGTACGCGATGGGGCATGAGGGCGGAGTCTTGTCCCCGTTGCCTGGCTGCCATGTCCTTGACTGTGCTGCTCTGCACAGGCTGCGCCCGGGGTGACTCTCCTCTGGGGGGGCTGCTGGTGAGGAGGGGGCATGGGGGGTGGCGGGGCTGGGGCGACGGCATGCGTGCCCTCAGAGAGGGCTCTGAGTGCCACCTCTAGCACCCGTGCCATAGGTTCGCCACCACTGGTATAGGTAGTCCTCGAATTAGGATTTATTTATTTTATTTATTTTATTTAATTTATATGCCGCCCTTCTCCCGACAGGGACTCAGGGCGGCGCACAACATATTTAAAACCAGAACATATATACAATCCCCCCCTTAAAACCGAATTAAACCGAATTTTAATGTTGCGTCTTCCGAATATTTAAAACCCAATGTAAAATCCACCCTAGGTCAGGTCCGCTTGC